TTGACTCACTTAGCCCTCCATTCCCCCAGGGTAGGTATCAGTGTTCTAATCTTGAGGATAAGGAACCGGTGGCCCAGAAATGTTAAGTGTTTTCCTAAGGTCACACAGTTCAGGTCTCATGTGGGATTCCTCAGCTGCACAGTCCCTACATCAAACATAACCCCTCCTGTGGATCTGGAGAGCTGCATGCATCAAGATCTCAGCCTGAAAGGGACCAGCTAACATACCCTGGGGTCAGCACACTGCTTTCCTTTAGTCATTTTATTTGCCCATATGCAGCTTTGGGGGGTGGGACTAAAATAGGCTTTTTATAGCTGCTTTTTAAAAAGTAATTATTCATTCCCTTCTTAAATGAAACAAAAACCTTGCTTTTAGAATAACTTTAATGAATACAATTTTAATAGGACTGTTCAAAATCCAGCAGCAAAGGTAAAAATCTTGCTTTGATCCATCTGCTTCATGCCTTTTTTATTTTTTAAAGATTTTATTTATTTATTTTTAGAGAAAGGAGAAGGAAGGGAGAAAGAGAGGGAGATAAACATCATTCGTGGTTGCCTCCTACATGCCCCCTACTGGGGCATGTAGAAAGGAGAAGGAAGGGAGAAAGAGAGGGAGATAAACATCATGGTTGCCTCCTACATGCCCCCTACTGGGGTCCTGGCCTGCAACCCTGGCATGTGCCCTGATTGGGAATCAAACTGGCGACCCTTTGGTTTGCAGGCCCATGCTCAGCCCACTAAGCCACACCAGCCAGGCTACTTCATGCCTTTTAAAACATAGTCCCACCACAATGATGCTCTTTAAAGGTAAGTTAGCACCATTGTGGATTTTAAAGATCCCTCTTTCCTTGCAGACTCCAGAATGAAGCATATCCAAACAGTGAGATGTTACCCAAAGGCAAAACCTAGCTAGCTTGACCCAGAAATACAAAAGCATGAGAACCATTTGGTCCCTTGAGGTGTGACATAAACAGAACAACGGTGCAAGAAGTGGGCTCAGATCTTCATGGAAGGAAAACAGCTGGCAGGTAATGCCAGCAACAGGAGAGAAACTGAGTGGGAGTAGAAGGGTCATGGCAGGTTATCCTCATTCCCTGGAGGCTTTGTTTGGAGATGTTTGGAGGTGAGAGACGCAGGTATAGCAAGTTCTTGGTAGGAGTGCTGTGCTCCACCCTAGATAGAAGTATGTAAGTGGGTGTTGGCAACAGGGTTATGTGAACATGGCAAGGGGTGTTACAGCATGATTTTTGTTGGAAATTATGCCCAAGGGTCTCTAACTATCCACATTTATCCCCAGGATTCAAGAGAAGAAAGTACTTAAAAAACATTTTGAGATGTGTTCCTGCCCAACCAGCCTACTGTAGAAACAGGAGACCCCAAGAGCGTCTCATAGCTGCTGTTTCTGCCCCTTGATTTCAACTCAAATGTCACCTCCCTGAAGAGCCCTCATGACCACACCACACCTCAACAGTGAAAGCTCATTCACGGCTTAGGGAAGGTATAATGTGAGCCCTGTTGCTTTTTTCTTTTTGTAAGCAAGTGCCTGACTTAAGCTTTTATTGCCCAGGCATCCACTCCTAAGAAGACTGTCTGGAATAAACACATTGCAGCCACACAAACTAGGTAAGAAGTCAGACTGCCTCCTCCACTAAGATGCCTGTTTTAGAGACCTAGGCTGATTTCCATATTGGCCATTTGGGTTATGAGGGTTTTTTCCCTCTTACAATACTTTAAAATCCCCACTCTTATGTTTTAAATTCACCATTAACGAGTAAGCGCTCGAAACCCTAGGCTCCCACCCTTGACCTGAATAAAAGCAAAACCCCAGGGCTATACATCCTTTCTCTCACCTAAGACCTCACTGTATATAATAAACCTGTGTCTTTTCCAAGTTTCCTGATGGTTATTGCTGAAGGGTGTTGTGAAATCATAGTAAAAACCACAGGGCTGGTCCAGTTACAACAATGGTTATTGATAGACCAGTACAAAACAATCATCCCCTAAAATAATACAAAATAAAAACAATGTGAACCACAGAATAACTCTAAGGAAGTCTAGCAGAGTTCTGATTTTTCCTATGAGGACTACTTTTAATCTTTTTTGAAATATCAAACATTAAATGCTATAACTGAATATTTTGGAGCACTTTACTAAATACCAGGCCTCCAGGGTGACCAGTATATCTTTATTCTCTGAAATTGTCTTCTAAACACTTATTGCTTGACTGTTTGTCCCACTAGACTTCAGACTCCAGGATAGCAGTGAGTCTGTCTGAAACTTCCAGATACAGCACAGCTCCTAGTAGTGTGGGGATTATTATATATCTATTAAGTAGACAAATGCCCCTCTGTTCTCTTGTCCAGTGGGCTCTGGTCTTCATCTTAGAGCTCAGTGTCCCAGGAAAAGGCTGGAAGAATGGAGCTGGTTATGGTGGTGAAGGAAAGGCAAGTTTTGGCACCCTGCAGAAGTGGGGGAGGGGGTACTCCAGGGCTCTGAAGTTGTCAGTTCTTGGTAAGCTCTCCTCTGTGAAATTCTGGGGCCCAGACACAAGGCTTAGCAAGGGCCCATCCAGACCTTGAGATGTTATGGAAGTCCCTGTTATTGGTCCAAAGAGACAGCACAGGGTATCACAGGATCACAGAGGGTTCATCTTCAGGGCAGGTTCTTGAGAGTCCATTGGGCAGAGAAGTGAGCAAGGCAGGGTTCTGTCTGTCTGACACTCAGGGCAGCTTGCCAAAGTCACCTCAAACTAAGAGAAAGAGGTAGTGAGGAGATGAGAAAAGAGAGAGCTGGGGGTAGGGATGAGGGGAGCCTGGATGCCACAGGACAACTGGAGTTAGCTTCAGAAAACCCTGACAAAAGGAAGAAGAGTTGAATGTAGAATGAAAAAACAGATTATTCACTGTCATGCTGAACAATGGTACAAGACATAAATAGCAGCTGCCCTGGCTGGTGTAGCTCAGTGGACTGAGCGCGGGCCTGTGAACCACAGGATCACGGTTCAATTCCCAGTCAGGGCACATGCCTGGGTTGCAAGCCAGTTCCCAGCAGGAGACGCACCAGAGGCAACCACACATTGATGTTTCTCTCTCTCTCTCCTTCCTTTGCCCTCTAAAGATAAATAAATAAAATCTTTTTAAATAAATAAATAAATAGCAGCCATGCACTGGAAGTGCCAATTTTGCTGAGAAGTGGTGTACAAAATACCCTAGCAGCACCCCCAACCCAGAAAGCTCAGTGCCACACAGCCAAGTTATGCACTATGCAGATGGAGAGAGTACAATGTCCTCTCAGAAGTGGGAAGAATGTGGACTTTAAAGTCCGAGATTTGAGTTAAAATTCCAGCTCTGTTGTTGACAACTTTCTATTGGGGTGGTGAAGGGGGAGAGAGAAGAGGTGGTAGAGAGAGAAAAGGAGAAGAAAAAGGAAAGAGAGCGACAGAAGGAGGAAGGATAGAGAGGCCCAAACCACTAGCCCTGGGTAAAAGTGGTAGCTTCTTTGAGCTTTGGTTCCAATAACAAGAAGACAGTGAGGATGAAAAACAGGGTTCTACAGTAAATAACATCACAGGGTGATCTGATCAGAAATTCCTAACTGGGCATATCCTGCCCAAGCATATAACTTCTTCACTAAAATGCTTAACTTTGCCTTAAGCCAGCCCTGTTCATTGTTTCTGTGCACCTAGGCTAACATACATTTGAAATAAGCCATAACCACTCTCGAGAGAGCACATAAGCTTGTTAAATCTCCTGTAATCCAATCCCATCCTTGTTTTCTCCACCTCTATAGAATCTTCCTTAGAGGAAGGTTCTTTCCTTAATTCCAAAGGCACACAAGTTTCAAAACTGTTATTCTATGAAGGATTTGAGGTCTTGCTCCAGGCATATGTCCTCAGTTTGGCTCAAATAAGCTCTCATAAAATTTTTCTACAGCTTGGATGTTTCTTAGGTAGACAACAGGCTCCAACTACTTCCCTTAGAACCTTGGTGGTTGTGAAGATAAAGTCTCAGTAATCACCCTGGCTGGTGTAATTCAGTTGGTTGGAACATTGTCCCATAACTGAAACATTGCATGTTCAATCCCAGCCGGAGCAAAGGCCTAGGTTGTGGGTTTGCTCCCTAGTCTGGGCATGTGTGGGGGTAACCAATTGATGCTTCTCTCTTGCATCAATATTTCTCTCTGTTCCTTCCTCTCCATCTAAAAGCAATGAAAAAATGTCTTTGGGTGAGAATACAAAAAGAAATTATAAAAATAAAACCTCAGTATAGATAACATATCCATGAGAACTGCTTCACAGCCACCCAGTATGAATAGAAGTGTCAAAGTGCCCTCTGGCATCCTCCCCTGAAAATAAGGAAGAAGGGAGCCCTGCAGAGGAGAATGGGGCACAATTTGTCATGGATATGAAAGGGCCATCAAGGGCTAAGGGCTGTCACCTCTGTCCTCTGATGCTTGCCAATCTCCAAGGCCTTTAACTTGCTCTACTAGGACAACTCCACTGGTAAGTACTGTTTAGTTTGTCATTCTGGGTCCCTCTGGGTCTCTAAAAGAAAGGGCATGTCAGTCTTCTAGACAGAAGACAGAAACCAACCAATTGGTTGGTCTAGCTGGTTTCTACACCCAACCGCCTATCCCTGTGACCTGCAGGGGATCTTTGCAGAGTTCCCCCTTATGAACCCCTCTCTCAAGGTCTGTGAGAGTCCTAGAAAGACTTCATTTCTCTGCATCTGAGTTACTGCTTAGACACATGGCTAAGGGGAGAAGGGTCCTGCTCTAAGAACACCCTGTCAGCTCCTGGTGCAGCTATGTGTCAGCAGTGTGCCATCTCATTCCTGCCAACAAAGCCTCCTTGGGAGGTAGACATAATTCCATTCCTGCTTAGGGAGGCCCAATGGGGAGGGCAGATCTCAGGAAGAAGCATGATTCAAATGGGTGGGAAGGCAACCAGGCTCTGGGCTGGGAATTGCTGTATGATGACTGCGTTCACAGAGGCCACCTTACTTTGGTGAAGGTCAGGCAGTCCTTGTCCTGGTCTTGGTCCTTCATCTCAAAGTCATACAGGGCTTTGCCCTGAGGCAAGGCAGGTGGCAGGGGCTGGAGGCACTGCACATAGCTGGATGGCAAGAAGCCATGGGTACCACTCAGTTCCCCGTGGAACCAGTGCTTGTCCACCCTGCGCCTCAGGATGATGACATCTCCCTTGCTGAACTTGAGGCCACCAGGCTCTTTCCCCTCGTAACTGTAGAGGGCTTTGCCATAGGGAAGCTGGGAAGGACTCTGAAAGTAAAATACAACACCGGTTACTCGGTGCAGCCTTCCTGCTGCCTGGGCAGTTTGGAGCATGGGGCTCCCATGTGCTAAGTACACATGCAGAATGCCCTTGCTTGGAAAGTCTTTCAAAGAAACGGATCCCCTGTCACAGGAACATGCAAGTTCAAGGCCCTGCCTAGACAAGAGAGTCCATAAGAAGGCCCTGTGATGGCCATTCCCTCTCCAGTTATGCATCAGAGGAGCCATGCACTGTCCTGGGCCTTGTATATACACCAGCTCACTCTGTGCTGAAAGGACTCTAAAACAGGGGCTGAATAATTTTCATTTATAGGAAAAGAAACTGAGCATGGAGAGCCTGAAGTCCCACACCTGTAAGGATAGGGCAGAATCCACATCTAGGGGCTCTGATTCCAGAGTGTTCTCATCTACTACTCTTGTGTTGAATTGATCTCCATTAAGTGATCTATCTGCCAGATTTCCAAAAAAATCTTCCTTAGTCTCTGAAACTTCACAGCAACTCAGAACATGCCTCAAGGTGGGTTTAAAGTCGAGGCAACAGACTCAGACTGTACTGTGTCCTTCTCACTTGTGGCATATACCTCTGATGTACAGCTCCAAGGGACAGCCATCCTGGTAAGGGAAGGTAGACACCACTCCTGGGATCTTGACCCTCAGTGCATCATAAGTTCTAACAAGTGGTCCCTGGCTTTCACAGAACCCCTCAACCATGACTCATAGTTTGTTGATGCCTATAGCAGTCTGGTGCAGAATTACAATTTCTAGAGTATAAAATAGTATCCTCTTAATGACATGGGATATTCTTGTTACTCTCTCAAGCTAACCCTTTCAAAAGTGATTTGCCATCTTTGGTCGCAAACAGTGACTAGCTCTGAAACCCAAACAGATTTCTTGGCAATCCTATGCTCTTCAGCAATAAGGTGTCTGTGGAACTACCCTGCAACTTTTGTCATCTTCCACTCCCTGGGCAACTCTTACTTAAATGAACCTGTTTCATAAAGATCAGTGGCCATATGGGTTTCTCTTCCTCTTCTTTATCAGTGGCCAAAACCCACTGAACTGAGTAAGCTTTGCCAAAGGCCAACCAAAAATGTTACTATTGTCCCCAGGTCAACACCTAACAATTTCCCTAACAGAAGCTGCATTTTTTTCACTGAGGCTGCCTAAGCCCAGGATTTCTTTAGTCTTTGAATCAGTCAATACAGGCACAATAGCCTGAAGCAGGAGTACATGATAAAGCCTTTTGTAGAGCATTTAACACTTAATAGCTCATTGGTTGGCAACTCAGTCTCCCTGCATTTGTGTTTCAGAAATGTCAAACACAGGAGTTAAAAGAGAACCTGCTGGCAAACTGACAAACAGCCACCTCTAATGAATTAAATAGGAACACATGAGGATTTGCAGCTCTCAATGAGGAAAAAAATCAGTTTGCTTCCAGTAACACTTAATCTTGGTAGGCATTGCACTGTATGCACAATAGACCGCAACAGTCCTCAATTTTAGAGAGCTGGGCAAAGGGGTAACTTATAATCCAAAGACTGTGACCATAAAAAAATGGAAGAGTCTATGGGCTGTGGGCCACACAAGATCCAGCTAGCCCCCGGCCCAGGGGTTTCAAATCAAGGACAATTTTGTACCCCAGGGAACATGTGGCAATGTCTGAAGACATGTCTGGTTGTCACAACTGGGAAGCAGGCACTATTGGTATATAATGTGTAAAAACCAGGGATGCTGCTAAACAGCCTACAGTGCAGGGGATGCCCCACCCCCTCAATTCACAGAATTACCAGGCCCAGAAGGCTTTCTTTTCTCAGTGCTGAGGCTGAGAAAGCCTGATACAGCCCTTAGGTTAATTAAAGAAAGAACAGAGTATCTTCCTTGTTCTCTTTGAATTTAGTGTACCACAACTTTTAAAATTAAATATAACATTTATTTCTGTGATATATTTTCACTAGTGACCACATGGAGTAGCTGATATACCTTTTGAGGTAAGATGAGTTAAAGAAACCAAGAAAAAACCTTACTGTTAATCTTGAAAACTGGCCTCAACTAGGCACACAAAATAAAATGTCACTTTGTCACAGACCAACTTCATTTCCTTTGGTAGCCAGACTAAGAGAGTCATGCTCAAAATAGTACTGTAAGAGCCATCCATGTTGAAGCTATTTGGTCCTTTTGCATTATGGACAACAAGGGTGAGCAGGAGCTGCCATGTGCACTTCTGTTTCGATGCTCTGCCTCCCTCTGTGCACTTTTATGCCATTTCTACAGATGCACCTCCCCTCCCCCATATGGAGGGCACACTGGCATTACTACTCTGACCTGCCCACACCAGCTTACTAACTCTGTTGACAAAGAGGATGCTTCCAAGCACCACTTATACTCATGTTGTACAATCCTGGGCCGACCTGCACAGTGAGGCTGGGAAGGACCTGGCTGTAGTGAAGAGAGATCCAGACACTGGCTTGTGGCAGGGCTGATGCTCTTGAGTAATGTGTCTTCACTGTTTCTGGGAGGCACACACTCCTGACATTTGAAGGACTGTATCTTTCATAGATTCTCCAGAGTGAGCATGGCTGCACCTGTCTGAGCACTGTGGCCCTCCCAGGCCAGCATGACCACTTTCACAATCCCTATCTCTATCTGCTCTTATGGTATGACTCTAAATTCTCCATGCTTCCAATTTCTCTTGTGAGTAATGGGCTGTAGACCATAAAAAAAAGACACCTACTATGAAAGGCTCCTAGTAACTAAATGCACTCAAATTTTAAAAAACAGAGCTGAGCAGCCATTTCTGCACAGGCTCCTCTCACTAAAACTGCACTTCGGGGATAGGCCTGCCATGAACTGCCTGCCTACACAGTTTTTCTGACATCTGAGCCAGCCCTTATAGAGTTCCCGGAATCCTATTTCAACCAATAGGACTGAAGCTTTCCCCATCTGATTGGAGCTGTGCACTCCTGGCCAATCAGACTAGCTCTATTCTGACCAATAAGAACAGTACTTGGATGGCTCAAATTGTGTGAATTTGACATCCTCATTATCATGAAAATGGACCAATCAGTGACCAGGGGAAGGGACTTCTGTCCATATAAATCAGTGCCCCTCTGGCTCCAAGAACATAGCTTCCCCTTCCACCAAATACTGAAGAATGCTTCTCCTTGGCTGAGTGAGCTGAAAAACACCAGACCAGTGCAGACCAGAGCAGGCCGGCACAGTGCAAAGCAGACAGTGCCCTACATATGCTTGTTAATTCAAATGTACCCAGCTTATTAATAGGGTTGCAGGGAGTGGCAAAATTTAGAAATGACAGACAGGTCTGATATGGTAATCCTATAAACCAACATGTTTCACACAGGTCCAGGAAAAAGGTGCTAGTCCCAGCTCTGCACAGAGAGGGTAAGAGCCAGTGTCTTAGCATGTGAACCAGAGAAGGACTAGGTCAGACTCTGAAGAGCAGAAGCAGGAGTTGGAGTAGACAAGACATGGCCCTTACCACGGCTCCTCAGGCAGCAGGGACAGGGCTTACAACCCTTTGGTGGGGAGGTCAGAGGGCAAGGCCAGGAACAAGCAAGCATACTGGCTTCATCCATATCTAGTTAGACAGCCATGTTCTTCATTTCCCATTGGTGGGAAGGGCAGAGAGAGGGAGATACTCCAACTCACTATCCCCCCACCCGTGAAATGCCAAGATCATCATCTGATAGAGCAAAACTGAGAGGGTCAGTAAACCTTTAAGATGTAGAACACATTTTGGAGGGTTCCTCAAAAAACCCTTCAAAGTCAGAGATGATGTTAAGAGGCATATTATCCAGGAGGCCAGGAACTGGTTCGCACTATTGGGAAACTCTGGGAAATGGTGATGCTCAGCACCCCCACGACACATTTTTTTTCAAAGCCCTTTAAAAGGTTAACTAATTGGTCCGTGACTAGGGTCTAAGGCAAGCAAATGCTATTATGGTGCAGGGTTAGGGAACATCTGAAAGGAACTCTGAAATCCCAACCTCCCTAACCCTGACAAAGAAACTGAGTGGGTTTTCTGCAGCCATTTCCTTTCTGCCCCCGGTGCACCTTGTAACTCTCTCATATTGTGTATGTTGTCCTTTGGAGGAACTGATTTCAAACATTGCACCAAGCCACCATTACATTATGTGGGTTCATGACATTAAGGAAAAGAAATGGGGGAAAAGAGGGAAATACATCTGGGATGCCTACAGGATAATTAACACCAGTCACCCCTGCAAGGAAATTAATAATAATTAAACCTTTAATGTCAGTTTTATGGCTCATTACTCAGATAAAGCACACAAGTATTACTATGGGCTCAACGTCCTCCCCATGGAGACATGGGTGCTGGTGCACATACAGCAGCCATCTTCTGCTGAGATCAGCACAGCAGTGGGATTTAACGAATGTGCCTCCCTTCCACCAGGCTACCGATGCTGAGTGGTGTTGGCTTCCCTGGAGTGAGGGTGGGCACCACAGCTGATCCATGTGAAGGAAGAGGTCTTGGCTTGTTCGGGCATTCTCTGCTCTTCCAGTAAGTGGACAAAGAACTCACTCATATTCTAGATACCAAGGACAATCCAATTTCCCTTACCCAGTGCTTTCCACATATCATTGTCATGGATCTAACCACTTGTTACCAGTGGAGGCCCCCAGACTATTGGCCCCACCAAGATAGATACTGTGCCTGCTTTTGTTCCATGCTGCATCCCCAGTCCTGGCCTGACAGAGGTAACCTGTTCAAAATACCTGTTGAATGAATGTATATATGAAATCTAAGACCAACTCCCTGAAATTAGGGCTGGACAAAAAGCCTCTGGCTGGAAGAAATTTTCCTGCATGTTATTTTTCCCAGGATGTGAGGTTTGGGGGTCCATGTAGCCAAAAGTTGTATTGCTAACAGTAGCTGGGCCTGATGAACAGGAAAAATTCTACCAATTGCTCCATGAGGAGTGAAATAAACAGCTGGAGGAAGCAGCCTGAGCAAAGGTATGGAGTTACAGACACTGGCTTGCCTTTCCACAGAACATAGCAGAGTTGACTGGTAC